TGAGGAGGCGTGTCGCCTTCCTGCGTATCTTTAGGTTCGGTAGAGCCGTCACCGTCTGGGGGGTGCAGAGTTTGTGTAGCTGCCCCGACTCCCAATTTCGGGATAGCCAACAAACAGTTCTTTGCTGCCTTCCAGGTCTCCTGCTCTTGTATGGCCTTTCGCAGGGCCTGTACGACTTTCCCCCACGACTTAAGATATTTCCCACTACCCGAGAACATCGTCTCCTCGGCTAACACTTTAGTGCATTTATCCCACACCTCAGGATGGAGAATATCCACTGGCTGGTCGATGAAAGCAGTTTGTAAAAGCCTCGCAACTGCGAGAGTAAAATCTTTGGGCTTACAATCAGTACCCCACTGCTTATGTAATTGAGATACAACCTTCACAAGGGCTTCCATCCTCCTTGTTCGCTTGGGAGCGTCCTCCCCGCCGGGCTGGTCCAGCCGCTCTGGCCACCGTTCACCTGTCCAGACGATTCCCGGGTTTCGGCACCACTTGTTGCCTTTGTTGGCGTGGCGACCTGGTTCAGGAACGGCACAGCGACCAACCCCAGGCTGCTCGGTCCATCAGCTCACGGACACCAATGTGGTGGATGGCAAATGGTGTTTATTGGCGAGTACCATGGTGTTATATAGCCTGAGTTTACAACATCACATCCGTCTGCTTATAACCTAGGCTAGGCCCTATTGGCTACTCGGAGGGGGGTCTTATCTTTCCGTACAGCGCGACATCTTCCGATTGCCAGACCCTAACTACCTACAGCCATGTTATTCTCAAAAAATCGTGCTTGCATCTCTTGGCAAAACTTAAAAACCTGTATGAGAAAGTGCCAGTTACCAAGTAGTTTCTTATTTTTGTTGGGGTTTTCTCCTTCTTTTACTCATCTTTCTTTTCCCTGTTCCCTTTCCATCTTGTCAAGGCAAAAACAGGGAGGAGAAAAGTGCATCCCTGAGTACCCAGTGGCCATGGGCACCATGCTGCCGCTCTCACAAAGCTTCAGTGATTGCTTGGAGTTGCCCATGAGGAGCTGGGACCCTTTGGAACTGGTGAGGGCGTCGGCATCTCCATGGAAACCACGGGGGCATTGTTACGACTGTCATGTGGGGTATTTAAGGCCCTGGAGCACCCTAGAGGTGGCAGTTGCTCTGTGAATCCACGGCAAGTCTGCATCCAAGGACACAGAAGATGCCAGTGGACAACGGATCAAACGCCCGCTCCCAGCCCGCCAAGGGCAGGCTGGGAGTGCAAAGGCGGTGCCAGGTGAGGGCTGGGGCAGGAGTGAGAGGCCGGTGGTGGGACAGGGCCACATGCAGCTGCCTCGGTGGCGGGGCCGGGCTTGCCGGCACTGCGGGGGCTGCTCTGCCAAGGCAGCTGCCTCCAGCACACAACTCTTCCTCCTTCTCCTGCCTTTAGGTGGGCCACAGGCAGCCTGAGGACAGGCCGCATAGGATCACGCTGCCACAAGTGCCCTACCAAGGAAGGTTTCTGCCCACCGTGACCCAGCAGGGACAGGCAGGGACCCCAAGGGAGACATGGCCAAACACCTTCCCAACCACGGGAACTGCGGACGGGCAGGTGGGAGGAGCAGGAGGGAGGAAGCTGAGCCTCCCATGCTGTGCCCCGCAGGCTGCCCGGGCATGCCGGGGATGCTGTGCGCAGTGCCCATGGGCTGCGGGTGGCCGGCCCTCTCCCCAGCCAGCTCTGGGAGCAGGCAGCACCCACCTGTGGGGCTGAGCCTTGCCATGGGGCTGGCAGGGGAGCCCAACTGCATGAGCTCAGCCAGCTGGGACACGGGCGCAAGAGACACTATCACAGAGCCTCTCTCCTCGGCTTCTCTTGCAGGTGGGCAGCCTGAGGCACAGAGGGGTGCTGCCCCACAGCATGAGGACAGAGGAGCAGACACTTCATCTGCCACTGCTGGTGGAAAGGGCACCTCGGCCGCCACTTCGGCTGCCACGTCAGCCATCATCTGAGCCAGTGAGAGCAGTCAGCAGCTGCTGCAAGCTGCCTCCCCTGACACTAGCACCCTCTGCCACTAAAACCAGCTTCAGTGACACTGACATCGGCAGCATGCGGAACAGCCAAACGCAGCTTCGCACAACCGCTGCACAGCTGTACGGCATCCCCGCACACGGCAGCACCGTTGTGAGGCCTCGGAGCTCTCATCCTGCCCCACACAGGCCCACAGCCTCTGCCACAGCGAAGGGCACAGGAAATGTGAGCGCGGTCCTGCGCAACAACATCGAGACATTGCAACAGGCCAGGAGGAGCCGCTTGGCCAGAGCTCCTGAGGAAGAGTACCACCAGGCACCTCTCCTTCCCATGGCACCAGCACCAGCATCTCGTGGCTTTAGCAGGCAGGCTGCTGCAGCACAAGCCCAGCACCAGTCACCTGCCCTGCACTGCGTCACGGGCCATGTTGCAGATGTGCAAGTGTTATGCAGCACCGTCCCGAACTGGCAGTTCGGAGATGTGGCCAAAGAGGAGGCAAAAGTACCATTCTTTGCTGAGTGTGGCGAGCAGGCTGCACCAGGACAGACAGAGCGCCAGGCACCTGCAATGAACAGCTCAGCAGAAAATGACACAGATCCGAATGTCCCATCCATGTGCATCAAGAGGGAAGTCTCTTCCAGAGCTGGTGTCGAGGAGGTAGAGGCATCAGCCTCTCCCGGCATCAGCAGGCAGGCTGCAGCAGGACAAGCAGAGGGCCAGGCACCTGCCCCGCACAGCCACAAAGAAAACAACGTGGATCTGGAGGTCACACCAAACAGCATCCTGAAGAAGGTCCATTACAGGGATGCTGCTGAGGAGGAGGCAGAGACCCCAGCCTCCTATGGCTTTGAGAGTCAAGCTCCGGCAGCAGAAGCACAGTGCAATGCGCCTGACTCTGACAACATCAGAGTAGCAGATGCAAAAGTGCAGGCCACTCGCATTGTCAGTGCAAGCTACCAGTTCCGGGATAGGATCGAGGAGGAGGCAGAGGAAACAGATTCTTCTGACAAAGGTGAGCAGGAGGCAGTGGCAGCGGATCAGGAAACCAGCCGGCAGCTGCTGGAAGGTCAGGACATGACCCAAATCCTGGATGCGGCAGTGACCAGAGAGGAGAAAGACTGGGAAGAGGGCACCGATAAAGTGATGTCCCAAGAGGAAGACATCACCGTACGCAACCTCTGGGTCAACCCCTCAGTCGCAGAGCTCTTTCAGGACCCCCAGGCCGATATCCAGGAGGGGTCTGGCTTCCCCAGCAGCATGCACATGGATCTGACAGGGGAGGCAGCTGGAGACTTGCAGAGAGTGTCTCCTGTCCCAGCCGTTCCCACGGACACCAAACTGGCAGCTTCTACACTGGGTGGAGCTGCAGAGGAAGAGGAGCACCCAACACCTCTCACTCTTGTGCCACAAGAGGAGCAAGCGGCACCGGCACCAGTTTCTCCTGCCTGTGTCGAGCAGGAGGCAGCACAACAGGCACAGAGGCAGGTACCTGCCCTGCTCAGCCCTGATGCCTATGAGATGGCTGTAGAAGAAGTGGCCAGGAACATCACTGAACAGAAAACTGTTGAGGCGGAACAGAAAGCTGATGAGGAGGAGCTGGACAGAAAAGAAGAGGAGAAATGGGAAGAGGCCATGGACAAAGAGCTGTCCGAAGTTGAAGAGATCAACGTTTGCAACCTCTGGGTCAACCCCTCGGTCCCAGAGCTCTTCCAGGACACCCATGCAGATCCCCAGGAGAGATTCAGCTGCCCCACCAGCATGGGCATGGACGCAACAGGAGAGGCTGCTGGAGTTCCGCAGATCACGTCTCCTGTCCCAGCTGGACCCACAGACACCAAACTGGCAGCTTCTACACTGGCTGGAGCTGCAGAGGAAGAAGAGCACCGTGCACCTCTCACTTCAGTGTCACAAGAGGATGCGGCACTGGGACCAGCTTCTCTTGGTGTTGATGAGCACAAGGCAGCACCACAGGCACAGAGCCAGGCACTTGCCCTGCTCAGCCCTGATGCCTATGAGAGGGTTGTAGAAGAAATGTCCAGGAACACCACTGAACAGGTCCTGATTACGTGTCTGGCCATGATCCAGGGAGCCAGCCAGCAGGTGGCGGAACCTCAGGACATGACCCAAATCCTGGATGCGGCAGTGGACAAAGAGGAGAAAGAGTGGGTAGAGGGCACTGATAAAGTGCTGTCCCAAGTGGAAGACTTCACCGTACGCAACATCTGGCTCAACCTCTTGCTCCCAGAGCTCTTCCAGGACCCGCAGGAGGAAATCCAGGAGGGGTCTGGCTTCCCCAGCAGCATGCGCATGGATCTGACAGGGGAGGCAGCTGGAGACTTGCAGAGAGTGTCTCCTGTCCCAGATGTTCCCACGGACACCAAACTGGCAGCTTCTACACTGGCTGGAGCTGCAGAGGAAGAGGAGCACCAAACACCTCTCACTCTTGTGCCACAAGAGGAGCAAGCGGCACCGGCACCAGTTTCTCCTGCCTGTGTCGAGCAGGAGGCAGCACCACAGGCACAGAGGCAGGTACCTGCCCTGCTCAGCCCTGATGCCTATGAGATGGCTGTAGAAGAAGTGGCCAGGAACATCGCTGAACAGGTCCCGATTACGTGTCTGGCCATGATCCAGGGAGCCAGCCAGCAGGTGGTGGAACCTCAGGACATGACCCAAATCCTGGATGCGGCAGTGGACAAAAAGGAGAAAGAGTGGGTAGAGGGCACTGATAAAGTGCTGTCCCAAGTGGAAGAGTTCACCATACGCAACATCTGGGTCAACCCCTCAGTCCCAGAGCTCTTCCAGGACACCCATGCAGATCCCCAGGAGAGATTCAGCTGCCCCACCAGCATGGGCATGGACGCAACAGGAGAGGCTGCTGGAGATCTGCAGAGCACGTCTCCTGTCCCAGCTGGACGGGAGGCTGCAACATCCCACGTTCCTCCAGGAGCAGATGACAGTGGAGGTGCAGCAGCTTCTCCCTTGTGTCGGGACTCTCCGCGCCAGGTGAGTGAGGTGCATGTGGCTGGCACCGGGGATCCCAAGGCCTTGGATGGCAGCTCCCAGGGGGTTTGTGACAGGGCTATTTCTGGTGTTCCCTGTGTCACCCAACTGACATTGCCCCCATCCCCTGCCTGTGCTCTTGCTACCCTGCAGGGTAGGGTCAGACGCTTTGTGAGGAAACACCTGGGCAAGGCTGTGACTGTCATCCATGGAAAAAGGCAGCAGCGGGTGGAAGAGCCAGACGTGGCACTAAGCTTGGATGCGGAGTCACCGTCAATGTCGCCTGCTGTATTTCAGGACAGCGAGAAACAGCCAGGTACTTCCCCGAGTTGGGTGGCACCCAGGCCAGGCCGGCAGCAGTGCGTGCATGAGTTCGGGTGCGTCCCAGCCTCCCCTCCATGGGCTGAGGGCTGCAAGCCTTCGGTGCAAAGGGCCACGAGGATGATCAGGGGGTTGGGGCACCTCCCGTACGAAGGCAGGCTGAGAAGGTTGGGGCTGTTCAGCCTGGAGAAGAGAAGGCTGCGTGGAGACCTCCTAGCAGCCTTCCAGTATCTGAAGGGGGCCTATAAGGATGCGGAGGAGGGACTCTTCGTTAGGAACTGTAGTGATAGGACAAGGGGTAACGGGTTCAAACCTAAAGAGGGGAAGTTTAGGTTGGATTTAAGGAGGAAGTTCTGGACTGTAAGACTGGTGAGCCACTGGAATGGGTTGCCAAAGGAAGATGGTCACCTGCAGCTCTTCTTCCCCCCCACAGGCATTGCCACTCTTCCAGACCCAGGAGCGGCCCCACGGCGACGACTCCATCGCTTCAGGAGAGTGCTGAGGGCTCTGCGCAAGGCTTTCTGTTCCTCTTGCCTCAACCCACGTGTGGAGGAGTAGCACCCTGCTGCCAGCACCAGGCCCAAGGGAGCTGTGCCGAGGATGTCGTGCTGCAGCCTGCACTTGTTGTGGGTGCTTTCTTGGGCCAGTAAATAATAACTCTTTTCCCCCCACCAGTGCTTGTCTCTGCCTCTATGTTGGTTAGAACATGTCTGCGTAATTCATGGGCCTCCATATTTAATTAACGTAAAACAACTGACTTCAGTCTAAGCGGCTACCTATCTGTTGCAATTAGTTCTTGTTTGCTAATTAATTGCCAACGGATGATTCAAGAGTCCTTTACTGAGGTTTAGCAGCAATCAAGACATGTACCTAGTACTCGGGGGACTTACTATGCAGTAACTGGGTTCTTGAATTAAATTCTTATTGGAGACCTTGAAAGTGTGACCTGAGAAAACTTCTCTGCAGCCAGTGGGTCCTCTAAGGGCTTGCCATGCCCTCCTGGATCTGCTGCCATGGGCAGTGTTGCTCCTAAGAGGGGGAGGCAGTGTGGATCCTCCTGGCTCCCTGCGGGGGGAGTTAACTTGCTTCCATCTGCAAGTTGAAGGTGAGGAAAAGCAGGATCTCAGGTCGTGGCTGTGGTGGGGGAGCAGCTCTGCTGAGACATAGGCTCCCAAATACTGTCTGTCTGGTCTGACAGTTGTGCTTTATCTTTGTCCTCCGCTGGACTTGAGCAGGAAGCGGAGGGAGGAAGGTGAAGATGTTGATCTCGGCTGGCAGGCAGCACCAGATTCCATCTCACTCAGCTGCCTCTTCCAGAAAGGAACACTCCTCTGGGTGCCCAAATCCCTCCCCGTAGTACGGGGAGCAAACACAGAGAGGATGGGATGTGTGCATGTCTATGGGAGTATGATATAATAGGCATCACAGAAAAGTGATGGGATGGCTCCTATGACTGAAGTCTTGGAATGGAAGGTTACAGGTTCTTTAGAAAAGACAGGCCTGGCAGGCGGGGAGGAAGAGTTGCTATTTATGTTAGGGGTAGGCTGGAGAGTATGGAACTCTGTCTGGGGACAGGTGAGCAGTTAACAGAGAGCTTGTGGGTCAGGGTTAAAGGGAGAACAGCGATGGGAGACATTACTGTGGGGATCTGCTACAGACCGCCTGATCAAGAGGAATCTGTGGATGAAGCACTCTACAGATAGATAGGAAAAGCCTCACACTCACAGGCCCTTGTTCTCACGGGGGACTTCAATCACCCTGATATCTGTTGGAGGGAAGGTACAGCCTGACACAAGCAATCCAGGAGGTTCCTCGATTGTCTGGAAGACAACTTCCTTCTGCAAGTAACAGAGGAGACGACAAGGAGAGGCGCTATGCTTGACCTCGTGCTCACCAACAGAGAAGGGCTGGTAGGAAATGTGATGCTCCAGGGCAGCCTTGTTTGTAGCGATCATGAGATGGTTGACTTTGAGATCCTCAGGACAGTGAGAAGAGCGTGCAGCAAGCTCACTGCCATGGACTTCAAGAGAGCAGACTTTGGCCTCTTCAGGAACCTGCTTAGTATGGTTCCATGGGACATAGTCCTAGAGAGCAGGGGTCCCAAGACTCTTGGTTGATATTCAAGGATCACCTGCTACAAGCTCAGGAGTGTTGCGTCCCAACTAGAAGGAAGTGCAGCAGGAGGGCCAGGAGACCTCCTTGGATGGATAAGGAGCTGCTGAGGAAACTTCAAGGAAAAAAAGAGGCTTATAAAAGGTAGAAGCAGGGACAGGAGGCCTGGGAAGAATACAGGGATGTTGTCCGGGAAGCTAGGGACCACGTTAGGAAAGCTAAGGCCCAGTTAGAATTAAACCTGGCTAAGGATGTTAAAGAGAATCGGAAGGCATTCTATAGTTCCATTGCAAATCAAAGACAGACTAGGGACACCGTGGGCCCTCTCCGGAAGCTATCAGAACTGGCTACCCCGGGTTTGGAGAAGGCTGAGGTTCTCAATGGCCTCTTTGCCTCAGTCTTCGCTGGCAAATGCTCCCACCACACCACCCAAGTCTTGGAAGGCAGATGCAGGCACTTTGAGAATGAAGACCTTGGACCCACTGTAGGAGAGGATCTGGTTTGAGACCATCCGAAGAACCTGAATGTGCACAAGTCCATGGGTCCTGACAAAATCCATCCGCGGGTCCTGAAGGAGCTGGCAAATGAAGTTGCTAAGCCACTGGCCATCCTATTTGAAAAATCATGGCAGTCAGGTGAAGTTCTCAACAACTGGAATAAGGGAAATATTCTGGCGCCTTTAAGAATGGGAGATCGGTAGCCCGAGATGAACCATCAGTCTCACCTGTGAAAAGTGAGAATCTTTGAACAGTCCTGAAAGGTGAGGCAGTCTGGCACGGGGCTTGGTGACAGCCAGCAGGGCTGCACTAAGGGAAAATGCTACGTAGCCAATTTGGAGCTGATGTGTCTTGACACCAGGTTTGTCCATTTGTAAGGGTGAAACCAATACTTGTCCTCCTAGTCAAACTGCACTGGAAAAGGCAACAGAGAAGGTCTGGTGTCAGCTGGAAGAGCTGCTAAAGCTGACCATAATACGGAAAAGTGTCCAAAAATGTACTATTTAATTAATTCCAAAGTGCTTTTCTGCCATGTTATTCTCAAAAAATCGTGCTTGCATCTCTTGGCAAAACTTAAAAACCTGTATGAGAAAGTGCCAGTTACCAAGTAGTTTCTTATTTTTGTTGGGGTTTTCTCCTTCTTTTACTCATCTTTCTTTTCCCTGTTCCCTTTCCATCTTGTCAAGGAAAAAACAGGGAGGAGAAAAGTGCATCCCTGAGTACCCAGTGGCCATGGGCACCATGCTGCCGCTGTCACAAAGCTTCAGTGATTGCTTGGAGTTGCCCATGAGGAGCTGGGACCCTTTGGAACTGGTGAGGGCGTCGGCATCTCCATGGAAACCACGGGGGCATTGTTACGACTGTCATGTGGGGTATTTAAGGCCCTGGAGCACCCTAGAGGTGGCAGTTGCTCTGTGAATCCACGGCAAGTCTGCATCCAAGGACACAGAAGATGCCAGTGGACAACGGATCAAACGCCCGCTCCCAGCCCGCCAAGGGCAGGCCGGGAGTGCAAAGGCGGTGCCAGGTGAGGGCTGGGGCAGGAGTGAGAGGCCGGTGGTGGGACAGGGCCACATGCAGCTGCCTGGGTGGCGGGGCCGGGCTTGCCGGCACTGCGGGGGCTGCTCTGCCAAGGCAGCTGCCTCCAGCACACACCTCTTCCTCCTCCTCCTGCCCGCAGGTGGGCCACAGGCAGCCTGAGGACAGGCCGCATAGGATCACGCTGCCACAAGTGCCCTACCAAGGAAGGTTTCAGCCCATCGTGACCCAGCAGGGACAGGCAGGGACCCCAAGGGAGACAGGGCCAAACACCTTCCCAACCACGGGAACTGCGGACGGGCAGGTGGGAGGAGCAGGAGGGAGGAAGCTGAGCCTCCCATGCTGTGCCCCGCAGGCTGCCCGGGCATGCCGGGGATGCTGTGCGCAGTGCCCATGGGCTGCGGGTGGCCGGCCCTCTCCCCAGCCAGCTCTGGGAGCAGGCAGCACCCACCTGTGGGGCTGAGCCTTGCCATGGGGCTGGCAGGGGAGCCCAACTGCATGAGCTCAGCCAGCTGGGACACGGGCGCAAGAGACACTATCACAGAGCCTCTCTCCTCGGCTTCTCTTGCAGGTGGGCAGCCTGAGGCACAGAGGGGTGCTGCCCCACAGCATGAGGACAGAGGAGCAGACACTTCATCTGCCACTGCTGGTGGAAAGGGCACCTCGGCCGCCACTTCGGCTGCCACGTCAGCCATCATCTCAGCCAGTGAGAGCAGTCAGCAGCTGCTGCAAGCTGCCTCCCCTGACACTAGCACCCTCTGCCACTAAAACCAGCTTCAGTGACACTGACATCGGCAGCATGCGAAGCAGCCGCGGCTTCGACAACCGCTGCAGTGACCGCATGCATTTCCCGCAGCCGGGCACGCTGGGAAAGAGGCCACGGAGCTCTCAGCCTGCCCCACACAGGCCCACAGCCTCTGCCACCGCGAAGGGCACAGGAAATGTGAGCGCGGTCCTGCGCAACAACATCGAGACATTGCAACAGGCCAGGAGGAGCCGCTTGGCCAGAGCTCCTGAGGAAGAGTACCACCAGGCACCTCTCCTTCCCATGGCACCAGCACCAGCATCTCGTGGCTTTAGCAGGCAGGCTGCTGCAGCACAAGCCCAGCACCAGTCACCTGCCCTGCACTGCGTCACGGGGCATGTTGCAGATGTGCAAGTGTTATGCAGCACCGTCCCGAACTGGCAGTTCGGAGATGTGGCCAAAGAGGAGGCAAAAGTACCATTCTTTGCTGAGTGTGGCGAGCAGGCTGCACCAGGACAGACAGAGCGCCAGGCACCTGCAATGAACAGCTCAGCAGAAAATGACACAGATCCGAATGTCCCATCCATGTGCGTCAAGAGGGAAGTCTCTTCCAGAGCTGGTGTCGAGGAGGTAGAGGCACCAGCCTCTCCCGGCATCAGCAGGCAGGCTGCAGCAGGACAAGCAGAGGGCCGGGCACCTGCCCCGCACAGCCACAAAGAAAACATGGATCTGGAGGTCACACCAAACAGCATCCTGAAGAAGGTCCATTACAGGGATGCTGCTGAGGAGGAGGCAGAGACCCCAGCCTCCTATGGCTTTGAGAGTCAAGCTCCGGCAGCAGAAGCACAGTGCAATGCACCTGACTCTGACAACATCAGAGTAGCAGATGCAAAAGTGCAGGCCACTCGCATTGTCAGTGCAAGCTACCAGTTCCGGGATAGGATCGAGGAGGAGGCAGAGGAAACAGATTCTTCTGACAAAGGTGAGCAGGAGGCAGTGGCAGTGGATCAGGAAACCAGCCGGCAGCTGCTGGAAGGTCAGGACATGACCCAAATCCTGGATGCGGCAGTGACCAGAGAGGAGAAAGACTGGGAAGAGGGCACCGATAAAGTGCTGTCCCAAGAGGAAGACATCACCGTACGCAACCTCTGGGTCAACCACTCAGTCGCAGAGCTCTTTCAGGACCCCCAGGCCGATATCCAGGAGGGGTCTGGCTTCCCCAGCAGCATGCGCATGGATCTGACAGGGGAGGCAGGTGAAAACCTGCAAAGCATTTCTC